AAACGAAACGGCAAACATTTAAGCGAATAACATGCGAAACAAAGCGCACTTAATTACAAACAAAAATTCCAGAGGCACAAAAAAAAAACAAGACAAACAAAGCACAATCAAAACAAAACAAAAAGAAAAGTAAAGAAGAAACATGAAAAAACAGAAAATGCATTTAGCAAATGTTGTTTCAGGCTGTGCTTAAAAGTAGGCTATGCTAAAGTTGGACAGCAGCAACAGCAACATGTGGCCAAACACCAACAGCAGCAAACATAGCCCCAAAATTAACCAAGCTACAGCAACAACAACAACAAAGACATCAACAACAGCCAGCAACTTTTTGCCATTTACAAATAGTTTTCTAGTTGTCAGCAAATGAGTGCAACTTTCATATATTTCTAATATATATGTGTACGTATGTACGTGTACTTAAACTTATATGCAGCACTGTTTAAAGCACTCGGACAGCAGCTTAACAAGAATTAGTTTCCCTCGGTCATTTGGCCAAAAGTTTGACACAAAACTGTAAGCAACGCCCAACAAAACTTTATCTCATCTCCACTGTAAACAAGCCACAAAAGGAATATATCAAGGGTTACAGTTACACAGTTAAATAACGGTTGAACAGCATAGAAAAGTTTGATCACTTTCTAATTAGAAAGAGAGAGAGAGAGAGCGAGAGAAGAGATAGTAAAGTATGAGACGATAGTCTCGATATATTAGATATTGAAGATAGTATATATAGTATAAATAGTATAGTTAGTATAGATAATATATATAGTATAGATAATATAGATAGTATAGATAGTATAGCTATAGATAGAATAGATAGAATAGATAGAATAGATAGTTTAATTAGTTTAGATAGTATAGATAGTATAGATAGTTTAGGTATTTGAAATTCACTATTATATATACTATAGATAGAATTGAAAATAGCGATATATAATAAGGTTCAGATCGTCACTTCTTTGCAGTCTTTGTTCCAAAAAAATGTCTTATGGAAGAATACATAAATAGACGAGAAAAGTAAAGCTAAAAATCGCTATTCCATCGTTAATTTCTTTGAAAACTACTTACTTACTTTGCTCTTTGATACATGCAAATCTAAAATATTTATTATTATTTATAATGAAAAAAACACAAATGGTAATTTCAATTACAGTTACAGTTATTTCTGATCTACTATACTGAGATATAAGTATAAAAAAAAGAGAAATAGCATTCTACTACTAATTTATAACCAGTTGAGAATTCCAAGGTTTTTGCAAGTGAAGGCAGCTTCTGTTCTGTTTCTGAGTATTCTAGTTATTCTAGTTCAATTTAAAGCATAAGTTTAGCAGTTCATAAATCGCTCTAATTTGAATAATAAATAATTTTTTATATGTGCATATATAGATATTTATATACTATGAAAACATTAAATGTTATGAAAATTGCAGTCTTAAAGTTTAATTTTTATTTTTGACTTTGACAGCACTTGCGGGCACTTCACAAAGTTTCTTTTTACTGATATTCAAAATGGCCATAAAACTGAAAAGTTATGGCTTTTCTCAGGCGTTGGCTCTTTAAACTTCAAATCATAGTTCGTCATAAAAAAAGTATGCAGCCAAGTTGGAAGCTGAACTGTTGACCCCAAAAACCGAAAATGAAGTGAAAATTATTTTCAACCTAAACTTGTGGTCTTTCAAGCTTTGATAAACTTTGTAGAAGTATTTTTTATATATATGTATATAAATATATATAATTAATTTAAATATATTAAATTTGAATAATTTTACTTTTACAAATAGAGCAGAGAAATCATTACTTTATTTAAATTTATATAAAAAAGGAATTTTAAATCTAAATTTATATTATATATAATTATACTTCATCAATAAAGGCATCATCCATATGTTATACATCAAAACTCAAATGAATACTACTGGTCATGCCCTAAGGCATATGTATAATATATAAATTCATCGAGTTATTCTGTATACGAGAGAGTTCAAAGCTGTCCCCAATGGGCGCTGCTATAAAAATAGTCTACTTAAAGCTATCTCAATTGAAATCGAAACGATATGAAATGCCAATTAGTTTATAATAGTTATCTCAAAAATCGTTTCCTTTTATTTAATTCATCAATCCTCAATCAAGTCTCTAGATTACGGTCGGTTCAGTTGCGGATTAACCCGTCGACGGACTCGTACTTCTTACAAATGAATATGCTCTTTTCACGATACGAGCGAGTATTAGACTCACTTTAAACAGACTTAAAGCTTATGCAAATTAGTTTCTTTGATGTCAATGCTCTATTCATTCAGTTGATTTCATGTTGAAGTTATCCTTAAGCTGAAGATGCTTGAGCAATAATTTCAGCTTAAGTCGCTTGGTCTTCGGCGCTTGCCAAATTTTTGATTACACCTTTGACTCGGATTTGTTTTGAGCACTGATTAGATGCCAACATAAGACTGCAATTTATTAAATAATAGACTCGAGAGCTGCGCTGATATGAGATCACAAAGCAAAGGGCGAAAGGCGAAAGGCTGCCAATTGCTCAGTTGTTGACTGCCAACTAAATGTATGTGTGCATGGGTGTGTGTGTGTGTGTGTGTGTATTGCAGTGTTAATATAAACTAAGCAAATGCTGTGCCGCAAATGGAGTTGTGTGCCACAAGTACAGTGAAGCACAGCCAGCACGACCAACACGACAATAAATCACAATAATAATAAAAAAGTACAAATAAATTGGAAAAAAACGGCTAAGAAAGGAGCAGAGATTGTGTCCTGGCCGTCATGTTGCAGCAGCAGCAGCTACAGCAGCAGCAGCAGCAGCAGCAGCCGCAACAGCAGCAGCAGCATCAACAACAGCAGCCCCTGTGGCCAGGACCAGACCAGGAGCCAGCCGTGTGTGAGCGTGTGTGAGTGCCGTCCAGGATATACGAGCTGCACGCACACAATCGAGCAACATGCAGATGATACTTGTTGCTGGCGGGTAAGTAGAAAAAAAGACAAGAAAACTCTGACCAAAGGGCAATGGATAGCAGCTCCACTCCACCAGCCACTACTCGTATATGTGTGTGTGTGTGTGTGTGCGCGTGTGCGCGTGTGTAATATAGGAATCTGTACGTAACTCGATGTCTAACCAATTGCAGCTCTCAATCAAAGCCTCAGTTCGCAATACTCAACATCTGCATATCAATTCGCTTGTTCAGTCTACGCTTCTGCTTTTTCGCATAGTGCACATTGCTTCTCGTTGGCTTCGCTTAACGCTCGATTGCAATTGCAATTGCGATTGCATTTCGGTATAGTACTGTACGCTCCGTTTCCCGCTCGCCCATATTTACGTCTACCTCAATGCCAGACTAATCACTGACTATTTTCTCTCTTTCTTTCTCTTTCTCTTTGGCCAATATTTCGAATTAAAATTGATGCCCTGCAACCTTCAGGTAAGTCGAAACGATATAAATACTTTATATATATATATATAAACATATATATATATATATATATATATATATATATAATGAGTAAGTTACGTGAACCAATCAATATACTTGAGTATATTGAGGCATCGATCTGCTTGAAGAACAATTGGCAAAAAATTCTTCCTTATAATTCAGTTATTTTTCGATGCTTCTTAAATATTTTAATATATTGTGTCTCGTTTTTGATAAGTTTACATACAACATATATAGTTGCAGTGCTAACTAGCATCTGGGTAGTTTAGTAATTTAAAGCTAAACGAACAAAGATTAATATAGCTGTATGAAGCCTGTTGTGGATATTGATAAAGCTTACATATGTCTATACCCTAGCATTCATGTATATTATTATATATTCTTGATCAGGAGGACATACCTTAAAGGCTAAAGAAACCTGTCTAAGTGTATGTTGCTATAAGACATACGCCATACGGGAAATTAGCCTTTTTATTTGATAACTCATCCCAATTGCTCACTATCAATAAAAATCATCATTTAATTTCGCTTTTGTGCGTAGCGTAAAATCTAGATATTTCAAATGTTAACGTAACGAAGACACAGCTTTTGTACATTTGGGATGGAAGAGCGGAGGAACTTCCCCAACATTTTCAAATAAACTTATTAAAAATGTTAAAGGTTTGTGCTTTGTCAAATATACACATACTGAGCTTTTAATAAGCTCATATGAAAAGCACTTAGATCAAAAGCTATTTAACTATTAAGGTCTAATTGTATGGCCCAGCGCAGAGCTCTTTCTTATGCGTGTGTGCAAGAGTTGTTTGCTATTTATGTATAAAGTAAGTGAATAATGATCTGGTTATAGTGTTCAGGGTATCTCCTAGTCGGACACTTTCAACTATTGTTGTCTGACAATCTAAAAAGTACAACAAATTTAGAATTGTCTAGAGCAATAATCAAATATGTCGATTCTTAAGCGTTATAGTGGCGTTCTACAGTATTATCTTATCGAGAGCATGACTTTAAGATCGTGAGAGTGAAAGAGGGGGAGAATAAAAATCTTATAAGCATACGTAGAAGCTCTCATACTGCCTCTACGTTTCTATTCGATTCGATTCGATGTTTGCAACATAATATTTCTGCAATTTGAAGAGGGTAAATGGATTTACAAAGAATTTAGAGAATCTAATCTGCAGCAAATCAAGTTCCTTGCTATATTCTATAAGCGAATGTAACTATCTCTATATAAATTTAAAAATTAAAAAATTTATTAAAAAGAAATAGAAATATAATCATAGACTTGATTGATAGAATTGCTCAGATTATTCTATATAAAGACAGCTAGAATTGAATTAATTATGGTCAACTCTTGGTGTAATCATTTCATCAATGCAAAATCCAATCAATTAGAAAATAATTAAGATAAGAAAATCTTAAATGTTTATAACATGTTTTTAAATCGCATGAGGGAAAATATATTAATTGAAGTTCCGTTCGCATTTGTAGTTGATGCACGCGATCTCTCACCAGCTGCTAGAACCCGAAACCTGTATTGAAGAGATTAAAGTGAGTGAGCGTCGCGTGGCAAATGAGAGCTTCCTCCGTGTGAGCTCAGACTTTTTCGCCCAGTGGCTTGATTATGAGCTCGTGTATTTGCACATGTGGTGGGGTTTGAATGCAGTAGGTGATCGCATCGGCGATGTCTTCGGAGCGCAGCAATGGAAAGTCGACAGTGGACATTGCGCTTCTATCGAATATTTCGGTATCCACGCCGCCGGGACTGATGCTCTATAAAGGCAAAGCAACCCAATATTGTTAGAGATATGCTTAGAGGGTATTCCAGTTGCGACTCACTGTGATCTTTGTCTTCGTGCCCATGTTGAGGAACTCTTGGCGCAGCACCTCGGTCATTGCGGTGATCGCATGCTTGGAGGGCGCATACATATTAAGGCTTACATCTGGCAAAATGGGCACCAGATGGCCGGCGATGCTGTTCACAATGAGCACGTGTCCGTCGTTGACCTTGCGGCGCTGGAGCGAAAGAATTGCCTCTCGTGTACACCAGGTAACGCCCAGCACATTCGTGTTCAGAATATCACGCATATCTCCGCTGTTGCCCTTGCTGACCAGAGTCGTATTCGGGCGAAGAACGCCAGCATTGTTCACCAGCACATCGGAGCCACCCAGCTGTTTGTCGATCCAGGCAAACGTATCGACCACTTGCTGCTCCACGCTCACATCACAGTTGCGATAATGAAAGCGTTTCGCCTGCTCTTCCGGCAGCTCTGACTTTATTTGCTGCAAGCGGCTTTCGCGACGTGCCAGACCCACAACAACCATGCCCTTCGACACTAAATCCTTGCAGCAGGCGGCACCAATTCCCGAACTGGCACCAGTCACCACAGCCACACGGTTTAACCAGCGATTCATGTTATTAATTTTGATTCAAGCGAGCGTTGTTGAAACTATAAACAGTATTATTTTGCGACCTTTGCTTTTATAGTGCTATCGCTCTATCAACCTTATCTCCTCTCTCAATAACGAACTTAAATACTGTGTATCTACGTTTTGTGATTTGAAAGCAAGGCCTCACGCTGATATTAATGTATACCTCCTGTTCAGCTGTCTCAATTTAATCTACAGTTCGCTCTAAAGAGTAAACACACGAACGAGAGAGAGTGGGCGATATAGAGAGTGGGAGGGAGAAAGAAAGAATGAGAGACAATTTTATGAGCATACGTAGGGGCTCTCACAATACCTCTCTTTCTCTCTTCGTTTCATTGTTTCAATTAGAACCATACAGACAGACAATCAACATATACATATATATAACGTCTTCAGATTAGTTTAATGTAGATAAGATTCTAGCAAAGTTTATAAAAATTCAATAGTCAAAAGCTTTCTTAGCAAACGATACATAAAAATATAAAATATAAAATATATAATATAAAATATAAGATATAAAATATAATTAAATATTAAAAATATAGAAGAGAAAAGAGTAAAAGAGAAAAGAAGAAAAGAGAAAAGAGAAAAGAGAAAGAGAAAAGAGAAAAGAAAAAGAGAAACGAGAAAAGAGAAAAGAGAAAATATAAAATAGAAAGAGAAAAGAGAAAAGAGAAAAGAGAAAAGAGAAAAGAGAAAAGAGAAAAGAGAAAAGAGAAAAGAGAAAAGAGAAAAGAGAAAAGAGTAAAAGAGAAAAGAGAAAGAGAAAGAGAAAAGAAAGCGAAAAGAGAAAAGAGAAAAGAGAAAAGAGAAAGAGAAAAGAGAAAAGAGAAAGAACGAAAAGAAAAAGAGAAAAGAGAAATAGAGAAAGAGAAAAGAGAAAAGAGAAAAGAGAAAAGAAAAGAGAAAAGAGAAAAGAGAAAGAGAAAAGAGAAAATATAAAATATAAATATAAATATAACATATAAATAACTATTAAAATATAAAATATAAATATTCAAAATATAAAATATAAAATATAAAATATAAATTAATATAAAATATAAAAATTATAAAATATTAAATATAAAATATAAAATTATTAAATATAAAATAATAAAATATAAATATAAAATATAAAATATAAAATATTAAATATAACATATAAAATATAAAATTATAAATATAAATATAAAATATAAATATAAATATAAATATAAAATATAAAATATAAAATATAAAATATAAAATATAAAATATAAATATAAAATATAAATATAAAATATAAAATATAAAGTTTTTTTTTAGATTCAAGTTCAGTTTTAGTCAAAAGCTTTTAAATAGTAAAGCATATCATAATTTGTATTGTGGGTAAGCGTAAGATATATCTTGGATATACGTTGTAAAAATATCTGATGCTTTCTGCTAGCTTCAACTTGAATTCAAAAAGCACCCAAGCTTAGTTGGAAAGCTTTGGATAGCTTAATATTTGAACAGAATGAAAAGCGAAGCTCTAAAGCTCAATTCCGAGGTTTGCGTCCTGTGTCGCTGTGCAAGCTCGGCGAAAGCTTGCGAATGTGTTCAATAAAAAGCTTTAGCTGTTGGCCCCAGAAGTAACAAAAGCTCTGACACACACACTCACACACACACACAGACACAAAAACATACACATATATATATATATATATATAGACCGATAGAAGGAAGGCTTGTAAATGCATTTGCGCATATGCTTATTAATAATTGCATTACACATACGCCGCGTAGGCGTGCTGCAAATGCAATTGTGAGTGTTGTTGTTGTTAGTGTTGCTGTTGTTGCCGCTGTTGCTATTGGCATTTGTGTGCGGCCTTTGCGGCGCCAGTGGCTTTCAGCTTGGCGCGTTCAAGTGCACACGTGACACAAAGCGCAGCACACGCACACGCACACACTCGCGCACACACACGCACACACACGCACGCACACACGCTCACATTGACATAGACTGAGAGAGCGAGAGAGCAGAAGAGAGCGTGTAAGTGAGGTGGCGCTTACAGTGAGTTGTAGTTGCATTATATTAATCATACGCCGCGTGCCAAAGGCCAAAAAAAAATGGCCACGGCGCCCGGCGGCTTTTTAAAGCAACACATAAATAATACAGATAGCTGGCGGAGTGTGAGTGCATGTGTGTGTGTGTGTACGCTTTTAACCTGGCTCACACGCACACTCACACACGCACACACATGCAGAGCACACACTCAAATAGCCCTTTGACTTTTTTGAATTCGATTTTCGCTTTTGTCGTCTGTTTCTCTTTTCATTTACACTTTTCACCTACTTTCGGCTTTTGGCCTACACCTGTGTGTGTGCGTGTGTGTGTGTGTTAGTGCCTATTATTGTTGTTTTTATTATTGTTGTTCGTGCCGCACGCTTCACTGCGCGCGTTGACCGGCGCTGGTCGGCGTGTCGCCTGTTTGCCCGTTAATCCCTCTCGACCCGCCCGCCTCTGGCCGCTGCTGCTTCCACTTTCATTGGAGTTGCGACCGCGTTCTTTTGGTCAGTTAAGCCGGAGCCGTTTGCCAGGGCTTTTAGCCTCACCAGAAGGCAAGCCCCTCCCCGACAGCAGCTCTCCACTTGTGCTCAGGCATGTTCAGTCAGTGCTTCGTTTAAATATGTTTTTTTTCTTTTACTTTTTGCCAGCCTTTGCTTAAGTCCGAGTGCGAGTTCTAGTCCGAGTTCTAGGCAAGTTTTGTAGCTGCTGCTGTTGTTGTTTTAACTTTATTTTTTTCGGTGTTCTTTTACTTGTTCGTGCCAAGTGGCACTAAAACTATTTGCCTTTGCTTTTGGCAGTGGCTCGTTGTTGTTGCTGCGGCTGTGGCAGTGGCAGGCACCTGCCCGGCACGCAACACGCAGAGTGCAGCTGTGTGGCGGCAGCAGCACGGCGTCTGCCGAGCAGCACATTGCAGCAAATCGCACGTGCTTGAGCTGCGACTCGGCCAACGAGCGGTGACTCGGCCGTTCGTGGGGCGGTTCCGCCAATGTGTCGACTGGGTCTTCGGTTGTATTTTGGGGCTCGGCTGGCTGCGGCTGCGGCTGCCCGGCTCGACTCGGCTCGGCTCAGCTCAGCGTGCTGGGGCATTGGCTGTGCCAACAGCGGCTGTGGCTGTAGCTGTAGCTATAGCTGTGACTGTGGCTCTGCCACCGACTCCATTTGCAGCGCTCAGTCGTCGCAGTCGCAGTCACGTCGTCGCAACGTACCGCGTTTCACGTAGCGCACGCGGCGGCTCTTGTCGTTTACGTTACGCCGAGCTAGGCAGTAGTCGAGTCGGTTGGAGTCAGTCGATCACTAGCTAAATCAAAAGACGGTCTATCAGTCTATCAGTCAATCAGTCAATCAGTCAATCAATCAATCAATCAATCAGTTAGTCAGCCATTTGTTTGTTGCTTTCGACTTTTTTTTTTCAAGTTGCTTCTTGTGCCTCGTGCAGTTACCCGCCTCGGGGCCCGGCAGACGCGTGCAACATTCCGTTTCCCGCTCGCGTGCGTGCGCGCGTGTGTTTGTGTGTGTTTTTTTTTCTAATTTTTTTTGACGTTGTTGTTATGCGTGTCAACGTGAACTGCAGCTTGAGAAAGGTGCTTAAAGCGTCGCTCAAAACTTTTGCTTGCAACTCCCAAACAAAAGCAACAAAAAGGAGGAAGACGAAGAAAGAGCAGAAATTTAACTGCAACTGCTGCATGCCACATGCTACAAGCTAATAAAAGTCTTGAGACTTGCAGCAGCGCTTGCGAAGCTGCTTCTTCGGCTCCGTTACAGTGTCTCCCTCACAACCCATTTGCTCTCTCACTTTTGCTCTGTCATTTGTTTATTTACGTTAATTAATGCAACGTGCAACGAGCAACGTGCAACGTGCAACGTGCAACGGGCAACGGGCAATGAGCATTGGGCGTGCAGCGCGCAGCATAATTTGCCTAGACTAAAGGCGCCCAACAGCCCGTCCTCACTCCCTGCCCCTGCCCCTGCCCCTGCCCCTGCCCCTGCCCCTGCCCCTTAAGTCAACGTGCAACTTTGCTGCCTCTTGCAACTGGCTCAGCTGCTGGAAGCGCACTTAATGAATATTTTAGCCAAGTTAATTTCCATGGCTCGCATTCGCAGCAGGCATCGAAGCTGAAGCTGAAGTTAGCCTCTGACTTGAATTTATTTTTCTATTTCTATTTCAATTTCAATTTCAATTTCTGTTTCTGTTTCTATTTTTGTTTTGGGTTACATAAGCCCCAGGGCTTAGCTTCAAATGAAGTATAAATGAAATTGCCATACAAATAGACTTATACATACATATATATAAATATATCTACATCATTCTCGATTTACTTGAATTCAAATGAATAAAAGAAAAAATGCCATAAATCAAGTAAAAAATCGCAAAAGCATTTCGCAAACTTCAATAGAGTCAATAATATAAATTTGCACACACATATATATGTATTTATATTTATTTATTTTATATATATATAGATGTATGTATATGAATAATAAAATACAAATGTTGCGCATACGACCCGTTGACGGCGTCACCAGCAGTTGACCCAAATTAAATATTTTTATCAGAAAAGAAAAAGAGCACAAAGTATTGTATATATAAAAACATATTTGCTTCAAATCGATCTAAAAACTAAGTCAAAGCTAAGCCTACGGCGCCACCTGGCGCCAGATGGCGCTATCAACATTTTAACGTTTTAAATTCGATTCTTTTCGCATTTAACTTTTTATTGAACTTCGTTTTCAATTACAAAATATATAAATTACACTTTCACCCTTTTCATTAATAAACAAGAAAAAATTGTATATTTTGTTTATTAATTTAATTCAGTTTGAATTCAATAACAGAAAACGCCGCGCGAAAGCAAAAAACATAAAACGAATTTTATTTGAAGCATATTTGATTCAAGTATTGTTTTTTGTTGACGACTATTTAAATTGAATACATTTGACATCTGTGTCAATGCATAATAATATAATTTAAAAAATACATATCATATATTTAAAATTGAATAAATAAGAAACCAAGCAAAAAAAAAAAATAATCAGATTTTTTTATCAATAATAACATTGAAAAGTAAAAAAAAATGATTTCAAAAAATAAAATATATAAATTTATTTATTTATGTGTTTTTTTTATTGATAATGAAAACTTTTTAATAATGAGAAAAGTTAATATGTAATATATAAAATTAAAAAGAAAATTTAAGAAAAAATTGAATACAAATTTTCTTCATTATTAAATTTTTTATAAATGAACAAAACTTTTTATCAATAAAAAATATATAGAATATACAGTTAAAAAGTAAAAGGAAAAATTTTATTCAACATTTAAATGAGTCATTTTCTATCGGTAATAATATATATAAAACTGAAGAAAAATATCAAACAAACGTAACACTAAATTTGCCTAATTATTAAGTTTTCTTACTTAATGCAATTAAATGACAAAACTTAAAACACTAACAAAGTTCAAGAAATGCAGAAATCTTAAAAAACTGTTTTATAATTTAAATTTTGTTCATTTAAAATAAAATTATCGCAATTAAAATACTTTGACACAGATTAAGTCTTAATTCAAATAGTTGTCAACGTTTCTTAAATCTAAAAACCTATGTATATATATTTTCAATTTGCACTATTTAAACAAAGTAGTTAAACAACATTTTGGAATTAAAAATAATGAAATTCAGATAATAAAAGCGAATCTTTGTTAACTGAGCAGGTCGCAGGTCGTTAAAGTTAAGTTTTAATATATATATATAAAGAAGTTACTCTCTGCGCCAGGTGGCGTTTTAATTTGGAAATACATACATACATGCATACACATTTATGTGTACGTATATATATATATATATATTTGTTATATAGATTGAGCACTTTTCATGTGCTATTTGCCAGGTTGAAGCTAAAAGCTGGCGTGACGGCGTCGCTTGCTTAGCCTTGGCTTAAGCAACGCTTCTTAACTTTGATTGAACTTTCAACATGCAACCGAACAACAACAACAACAACAACAACAACAACAACAGCAACAACATCAGCAACAAATCAAAAAAAACCCATAACAATTCGCGCTTTGTTGAGGGGCAGTTGAAGAACTGCGAACGATTCGCACGCACATTTTCGCCTCTTTTTTTGCTGTTGCGGAAGGATGGGTTGCGTTGGGTGGGGCTGGCTGGTCTAGGTGGTGCGTGGCGCTGCTAATGAATGCCCCATGAAAGTAGGCCTAAAGCCACTCGAAATTTTTGCGCTACGGCAACTCCATTAACAATTTGAATTTGAATTTTCCTGCTGCTATTTTGCTTGTTTTTCCTTTTTTGTTTTTTGTTTTTTGTTTTCAGTTGATTTAAATTCGAAATTGATTTTCCTCTTTGTACAGTTTTCTTCACTCTTTTTGCGATATTTTTTGCTGTTTTATTATTATTTTTAAGTTATTTAAAATTGAAATTAGCGCATTTGCAGCATCTCCCGGGCGTTTTGTTTGATTTTGCATTGTCTTCAAATGAATTTGTAATTTATTATCAATTTGAATGCTTTGTATTGGCATCGCTATGGAGCTTTGTGGCGCGTCTTTTGTTTACTGCGGGTTCAATTACGTGGCTCGTGTATATTTTATTATGAAAATCCATTGCCTAGAGCTGTGCCAGTAGCAGAGAATGTTAAACAATTCACAGAAGAAACAGAATCCAATGGCCCCTCCATCAAACTAAATGCTTATCACTCAGCATAACCTTACTAATTGGGCTTTCTAACTTTAATGTTGATAGTATAATTAAGTTAAGTAATTTCATCCACTTTGTACATAGTCGAAATATATTGCACAGCTCTTGACAGTGTTGACTTTGATATGCTATCTATTTTGTTGCAGTTGTAGGGTGGCAACTCTACTCAGAAATTTTATAGCTCAAATTTAATAATATTTAGGAGCATTACAATGTTTTTAGCTAGTTTGAAACCAAAGCTATTTGTTTTTTTTTTTTTAAATTGCGTAGCTCTTCTAGAGTTGCCACACTTTAAAAAAAACGTATTTCCTATTCTAAAACGTTATTCAGAAAGTACAGGTTAAACGTCTAAAAAATATTTCTTTCTTATCTTTTTTAAGTGTGGCAACTCTCATGCTTTGCCAATCTTTTCTGATCAACATTCCTAAATTTACAGAAATGCTTACGCTTTTAATAAAATTAATCATACATCATATTTCATAACTATGTGGCAACCCTACCCACTTTGAATCTTAATTAATACTCTGATTAAATGTTGCCTGTTTTGGTAATTGTAGCCCAAAAGTGTTCACTTTAAAAGGTCTTGTGGCAAACTTCTTAATAAATTACGCACTGTGGCAACTCTAAGCACGTATAACATGTCTGAGCATGGGCTCATAACAAAATTGTTCAATATTTCGTGAAAAAAAAAACGACGACAACGCTGAAACTGTCTTTGTATTGGTAGTTGTATGCATCTATATATTTTCGGCTAACTTGGCAACTCTGCAAACATTTTTCCTAATGTAAATGACTGCTAACAGTCTTTATTTATGGCCTTCGCTGAGTTTGATTAATTGCAATTGCATATGCTATGTGGTAGGGTAGCTACTCAGTCGGGCATGCCCCATTTGTGCTCTCATTCAGCGAATGTTAAGCTGCGGCTGTGCTGAGCATATTTGTAGCATATTAGAATTTGACTTAACTTGAAAAGTTTTGCTTTGGGAACTATGCTCCAATATGCCTGTAGTCCTTGTCTATCTCGCTCTCTCCTTCAATCTCCCTCCCTGTCTCTTTCACTCTCTCTCTCTCTCTCTGTCTCTCTCTGCTTGGCCATTAACTTTGCATTTGTCTACTCTGTTCTTCATTTCAACTGCTGACTGGGCGCTACAAATTATTTGCTGGCCAAAACCTTTTTGTGGCACATATTTTTTGGCAGCTCACAGAGTAGAGGCGGTGTGTGCATGTGCGTGTGTGTGATGTGTAGAGGCAGCAGCTTAAGGCATGGCCAAAAGTTACGCACTGCGACGAGTTTTTTGTTTTTATTTTTTTTTTTTTTTATTTTGGTTTGGTTTGGTTTTTGTTTCTATTTTATTTTTTTAATATGCCGTGACCCACAGAGCTGTCTTTGTGTGTGTGTAAGCTTCACGTGCGCTGCGTGATTTTAATATGAAACAAACACATCACACACACACACGCACACACCTTGGCCATGCCCAGCTCTGTTTTTGCATTTCTCTTGTTTTATTTGCGTCCCATTTTTTCACTTGGCCTTTGCGTAATTCTTTTTACGACTCAACAAGCAGTGGAAAGAAAAAAACACAATATATATGAAAGAAAAAACAACGCAAACAATTGCGAAATGAAGAAGCAAATACAAGAACTTATTGATCGGGCCGCCAATTTGAAGGTCAAGCATACGCACCGTGGGCCTAGCATAGTTGCTTTCGGCTCTGTCTCCTCGGCATTGTTATATAAACATAAACATTTATGCAAGAGTTGGTTGATGCTGTGGCTGAAGCATGCTTCTATTTTTTTGGCGACTGCTTCTGTCGTGCCACATGGCACACAACACATGCTGCACGCTGCATGCTGCATGCAACGATGACGTCATT